TTTTGATATATTCTTCATGTAATGGAAATGATTCTGATACAGTATTTAACAAAAAAGTAATATACATAATAGTGCCTAAAATGTGACCTAAACATTTATAGAAAAATGCACTAAAAAGTTCACTTTTTAAACTGATTGGTGAACTTACTGATTTTTTTTTTTTATATCTTCTTTACACATTAATGTGTGATGCATTTTCAAAATTTTCCAAATGGGTTTGTATCACTTTAATTGTCAGGAAAATACAAAACAAAAGTTTCATATTGACCAAAAAAAAAAAAGTTATTTAATCACTATGAGAGATTAATAACTGTTTTTTAGTATTAATTTAATGAGTTAATAATTATGAAGAGTTTAGAACAGTGCCTGGCAAGTAGTAAGTCCTGTGTTGGTTACGTAAAAATAAGTGAGAATAAGTGGATATAAATTCTATATCCTCAGCAGTGGACAGCGAGCGGCCCTCTATAGATGTTAGTGGGATGAATAGATCCAGCCACATTTCTTCCCAGGCCTTCAGAGTGTGCATCCCAGATGGGGGCTTTATTTGACTCTTGTTTTCTTATCATCTATCTTTTCCTTCTTTCCTTCCTCCCTTCCTTCCCTCCTCCCTTCCTTCCCTCCTTCCCTCCTTTTTAGACCAGGTCTCACTCTGTCACCCAAGCTGGAGTGCAGTGGTGTGACCACAGCTCACTGCAGCCTCAACCTCCCAGGCTCAATTGATTCTCCTGCCCCAGCCCCTCAAGTAGCTGGGACTACAGGTGCATAGCACGAAACCTGGCTAATTTCTGTATTTCTTTGTAGAGATGGGAATCTTTCTATGTTTCCCAGGCTGATCTCAAACTCCTGGGCTCAAGCAATCCTCCCACCTCAGCCTCCCAAAATGCTGGGATTACAGGCATGAGCCACCACACCTGCCTTCTTTTCTTTTTCTGGAACCACTTTACTGAGGTATGCCTGACATGTAAAACGCTGTACATATTTAGTGTCTACAAGTTGATGAGTTTGGGGATAAATGTGCACGTGTGAAAGCATCGCTACCATCAAGGCCATAGACAGTACCCTTTATCTTTTCAGAGGCTCTTGTCATATCAGCTAGTTTGCCGCATTTCACCCAGTGTCCATCACACCTTCTTGTTTTCCTTCCTCACTTGCTGCTCCTTCTCCTCCAAAAGTTATGGTGCCCCAGGCTCCGTCCTAAGTCTCCTCTCCATCTGCACCATCTCTCTAAGGGACCTCATCCGTTGCAGGGGTTTAAATAACACTTACATCCCTGAGGACCTACTGAGGCTTATCTCCAGGCCAGACCTACAGCTTCTCAGTCATCTCTCTACCTGAGGGTCTAGCAGGCATCTCAAACTTGCAGCATTCAAAGTGGAATGCTAGGTTTCCCCCGCCTTCTTCTCTGTCCCCAGCAACCTGTTCCTTCTCCCCAAAAGGTGGATTCACCCTTGATGTCTCTCTTTCGACACTCACAACCAATCCATCAGCAAAGGCTGTCAGTTCTTCCTTTAACATGTTCCCTGAATCTGACCCATTCTCACTGAGTCAGCTCCTGCCTCTGGCGTGGGCTCCTACAGGAGCCTCCTGACTCAGGTTCCTCTTCTATTCTTGCCCCCTCAGCAGGTTCTCTATGGAGCAGCTGGAGCAATGCCTTTTAAATGGAAATCATTCACACTCACAAGAAAATTCCAACCTGACCATGTCCTACCAGGCCCCCACCAGCCCTCTGACCCATTTCTCACCATTCTCCGCTCTCCTCTGGGACGCACTATCCTATTTGCTGTTCCACACAAGCAGGCACCTGCTTGCCTCAGGGCCTTCGCACTTGCGTTTGCGCTTCGGGGATACTCTTCTACATGTATCCCTGTGGCTCCTCTCCTCACTTCTTCTAGGTCTCTGCTCAGCTGTCGCCTCTTCAGAGAGGCCCTCCTGACTGTCCACCTTGTGATTCTCTCTCTCTCCATCTCAGTTTGGTTTTTTTCATAGCATTTATCACTACCTGGCATTATACAATACTTTTCTCGATTTCCTTTTAACCATCTGTCTTCCCTACTAGAACATGCTGTCTAAGAGAGCAAGGGCTTTGTTTTGGTTTTTGATGCTTAGAGTACTGCCTGGCTTCTATTAAGAGCTCAGTCAATATTTATTGCCTATGTGAATGAATGAATGATTAGCAAATTCCTAGAGAGCAGTGGTTCTTTCTGATCTTATTCATCTCACCCAGTCCTCAGATGCCTGACCTTGGGCAGAGTACACCAGCTATGCTCATAAATGTGTGATTGCTGAAGAGGCAATAAATACCTTCAAGCAAATGAGTAACCAGGTTCCTGCCATGTGCAGCTGCTGTGAACAGACGAGCAGTCTCCCTTTGAAAGCTGGTTTTTTAAGGGAGAAAACAGTCTCTGACCGAGTCCTGCTCCCCCAAATCCTGGCCCAGTGCTGCTCCTAGTTACTGTAAGGGCATGCAAGGGCTTCTGGCAGCCTTGGGATAGCTTCACAAATCAGAAGGAGCCGATGCCTGGAGCCCATTGGCTCACATTGGACACTCGCCAGGTATCAGCTGAAACAGCGTGGTGACGGCAGGGCCAGAGCAGCCAGTACTTTAACTGCTATTTAGTCTTGAATGTCTTGTGAGGTAAGGACTATAAACTCCATCTCACAGCTGAAGAAACTAAAACTTAGGGAGAGTAGGTGGTTTGGCCAAGGTCTTAGCCTGTAAATTAACATGGCTAAGATTTGATCCCGGTTGTGCTAACTGCAGATAATAAACAACAGTGAACATTTGTTGAGGGCTCCCTAAGTACCAGGGTCTATTTAATTAAGTTCCCCCCAACACATGTAGATCTCATTCAGCATTCAGGATAACCTTATTAATTAAATACTGTTATCTCTTTTCACAAATAAGAGCACTGGGGCACAGAGAGATTAAGTAACTTGCTCAAGGTCACACAGCACTTTCCATTGTAACACATTATCTTAACTATTACCTCCAGCAACTGAGGATTTAGATCACAAGCCATTTGCTCCAAAACACTAAGGAAGGGATCCCTACAAAGCAAACAACAGCAAGCTGTAAATTTCTCCCAGCATGTCGTGTGCCTCCTCTCTATTCTCTGCTGCTTCATCCTCTCTCCCCAGTTCCTGGATGATCCCCAACCTGGGAGGGGAAGGCTACTGTCTCCAAGGCAGCAGGGTACAAAGTCCAGCCTGGGCCTTGCTTAGCACATGGTGCCTGCCCTGCCTGCACACAGGAACATTAATAGGTAATGACTCTTGTGATGAGGAAGAGCAGGGCAGAGGAAACGTGGAAGTCTGAGGTTCTTTGGAGCCTGTGGGACCTGGAGAAGAGGAACAGGGGCAAACTCAGAGTTTGAGTCAGACGGCAGAGACCCTGGAGGTGATTCCCGCAAAAGAGGCAGAGTAGATACCCCACAGAGTAAAGGCAGAAGACCTGATATTATTTCAGGCCAGAGGCAGGAAAGTGAAATTCAACCCTGAGACTTGGGTTGGGGGACGGAAGGCTGAGCTCCTTCAAACTGGGTTGCCTGAAATCTACACTCACAGAATGTCCTTAGCGGCTGAAATTTCTTCTGACATGTCTCTTTGCAACAGAATGTACCAGTGAATGCTGTCTCATGCTCCCCTTGGTATTTGCCAGCCCCTAAATTCTTACTGAACCTCCAGTTATCACCCACCCCTGGGAGCAGGACCAGGGATGTCCCAAACCTTGTTTTCAAGAGCCTTCTGCCAGTCTGAGCTGTCCCCTTTGTGCCCCTACAAAAAGCTTAGCCCCAACATGCAGCGCCCAGCCATGGGTAATTACAGTGTAGGGTCTGCCTCCCACCTTACACCACCAGCAATCTGAGGGCACAGACTGTGAGGATGCTCAAAACATGCTTATTAAATTAATAACTGACCTTGGGCCCTTGACCCCAAGCCCCTGTGGCCCCTATAGTGGCTGGCTCCTTGGGCTCTATGGGCCTCTCTATGGGAAGGAAGGGGTTAAGCACCCTGACCTCCCCTGCCTGAGCTCAGCCCTTAGACCTGGAAGAGGTTTGGCTTGGTCTAAAGACACTGCCCCTGGGGGCATGGGAGAGCCTGGGGTCACACAGTTATTAATAGTTATGTGCTCCTCAGGCAGGGCCTGTAGGGAGCTCCAGATACCCCTGGCTTCATCCCGAGACTCAGAGGCATCCTAGGGCCTGGTGGGGAGGTCGACTGGGTCTCTTCGATGTTCCTCTTTGGTCTCAGGGCCTCAGCAGATTCTGCACAGCTTCGGGAATTATTCTGGAAATGCCCTGTGTGAAATCCAGCCTCTTCCAGTGACGGTCCTTGAGGATCCCACTAGTGAGGCCCCTCAGTGGGACACACCAGGGTAGAGGCGGCTCTGCCTGAAGGATCCGGCCGGCCAGAGGCAGCTCCCACGCTCTCAGTACCTCCTCCCTTCCTCCCCACCACACCGGTCAGCCCCAGCTCCTCAGCTACTTCTCAGGCCTAAGAAACGCCCTTAGGCCGGCAGGGGGCCCCTGAAAAGCTTCAACTCTTGTTCTGAGGTCAAAAAGCAGAGAGACGTCTAGTTTTCCTTCTCCCAACCCTCACCTCTCAGATACTGCCCCAGACTTTCTCCACATGCCTCAACAACCCTGAGCTGGGGGCACTAGGTAGGAGAGGGACTTGCCCACAAAGTGGGCACCTCAGAGAAGCGGCCAAAGCTGGAAGGAATTCCAAACCCTGAACCGTCCCCTCCCCTGGAAGGCAGAGGGAGAAACACTGGCGGAAGATGGATCCGTTTAGCAGTCCCTGAACCCGGAGTCTCCGCGCTCCCTCCCTCACTTTACTGGGGATCCCTGCTGCCAGCCAAACCACCCTCGGGTATCCCAGCCCACCCAGAGCCATTAGAGGGCTGGAAAAGGGAGGGGCAGTGCCGGGGTGTCCACCCTCCACCCACTGCGCCCAGGACTCCGGAGTCCCAGAAGCCTGGGGCTCCCCGCAGCTCTGACCTTATGCCGGAATTCTCGGGCCACTTTTCGGTCCATGGCTGGGCCAGATCCAGCCGCGTCCTTGCAAGACCCGTTCCTTCAGGTGCCCGGCTGCCAGGAGCTGGAAGGAGCTGCAACCGCGACCTGCTCAGCACCCTCGGATCTTGGGGCGGGGCCTGAGAGCGGAGGGGCGGGGCTGGGCCGCTGTGGGGCGGGGCCGCTGCGAGGCTGGAGTGGCAGGTGCTGAGTCGTCGCCTCCCACTGAAGCGTGGGAGCAAGTGTGCCTATGGGCCTGTGGTGGCAGTAGCTGGGTTTCAAGGTGGTATTCCTCTTGAAGTGGTACCTGAACACATGCGTTTGAGGAAGAGGATCGTGGAGACGTAGGGAGGAGGTTTGGAACTTTTTTGTGGGGACCAGAATAGAGAGATCTGGAAACTGTGCACACGGGTGGGCAGGGCACGGGGCAATCTGGTCAGTTTTCTATGGATACTCATGTTGAGGCTCATCGCCCTCCTAGACTGTCAGCCCTTGCCACACGCTCGCCTTCAGCCTGCCTTCCGTCCTGGCCTTCTCCTGTACTTTTCCACTCAGGAGAAATCAGTCCTTGTTCTGTGAATTCCTTGGGGGCGGGGCTGGGTTTTACTGTGGGCCACAGGGTTCTGAACCAGTGTGTGTGGGAGTGGTCCCCTCAACTGACTTCCTCTCTTACCTTCCGTAGCACCTCCGTCCCCAACAAAACAAGACAAAAGAAACCCAAACCCAACACACTCACATATCCACCAAAGCCTGGCAGAGCCTGGCGGTGACATTCTTGAGCTATGCTGACCTTCACTCAGGGCCTAGATCCTCTGGTTCATTTAATTCAACTCAGCCAACACTTGCTTAACTCCTAGGTCTAGTGCTGGGTGCAAAGACAATGATGAACCAGGCCTGGAAAGGAATGAAAGGAAAGAGGGGCCAGAAAGGGGTGATTAAAATGTGTGAATCAGGGGCTGTTAAATATGGCACTTGTGCCTGAACTTGCCCCTGCCCTTGACAGGGCCAAGGAGATGGACAGCAGCTCACATCAGGTAACCATTTACAATTGTAACTTTGGGGTACCTAAACATCCCCTTTCTGCATCCCTCTCCCCAGTAGCTGAAGTTTTACAAGCACACTATTTTTGTTTGGGCTAAATTATTCCTAGTTTAAGCTGTAAATCATTCTTGGAGAAGAACCTTAAAATATGATCTGTGTTCTCACCTTAGTATTAACTATTAAGTCTGCAATAAAAGGGAATAACTTGTGGGATTTTTGAATGGTCCAGAAAAGACTACACAAAATACTCTCCCTTCCGACTGATTTCATTGATTCTCTACATTTAAAAAGAATGCTATATGGCTGTTTCTTTTGTGTTTAGAATCCCGGCAGAGTGGTGAGTGAATGTCCTTATCCTGGAGAATGCTGTTCACCTGCCACCCCAATCCTTATTTTACATGGCATCACCCCCACAGCACTCCCTCCATCTTAAAATGGTCCCCATTTTGTTTTGAGAATCGCATTGAGTCCTGATTCTCCTCTCCCCTGATTTTTTTTTTTTCAAGCTTCTTTGGAGACGATCTGCTTTCTCCCATTCCTTAACCAGTGTTCCTTAAGGCTCCATCCCTAGCTCTTTCCTCTTCATCTTCTTATCTGTGCCCCTGGCTTCCTCCTGTGTGATGATAGCTATGTATGCTTTATTTATCACTAGATGCCTAGAGCACTGCATACCATGGAATTAATGCCAGACAAATTCGTTGAGTGAATGAATGAATGAATGAATGCATCTCAAATCTATACCCTTGCCTAGGAGTCTACTGGGGGCAATACCACCTCCACCACCACCATCATCATCCTACGAAAGACCTAGCATCTAGTTGGTGTTCCCTAAGTGCTGACCAAGTGAATGATGGACATGCTCCCAAGGGGCTCAGTCCCATGTTTTCACCATTTTAAAATTCCTCCTGGGCAGACAGTGTGCCTTGTTCACACAGTTAAAGCTGTTTTGTCAAAGTTTGGCCCTGATGGTGGCAATAACATGGGAGTATGAGACATGTTTATTATTCAGCCATCATTTCCTGAGCTAGGGCAGGAGCTGCTGCTGGGCATTCAGAGGACTAAGGCATGGTCCATTCCCTAGAGGTGCTCAAAACGGGGCATAGGATAGTGATGTGGAGACCCAGGTGGAAGCTGTGGTGGGGCATGGTGGGAACACAGGCTAGGACTCCACAGGCTCTGCTACCGACCCCTGACCCCTGAGTGGCATGTCCCTGGGCCTCAGCACGGCCCTCTGTAAAAACAGAAAGAAGGGCCAGACTCATAGCCGCATCTTGGGTCTCTGGTGTTGGGCTTCCAGGACCCAGGTAAGGGGAGCTGGAGGTCGCACAGGCTGCCTCTTTGCTCCCCTAGAAAATTTAGGGCTTAGTAGTCTGAATCCAGCCTCCGCTGGGGAGGAGTAACCACAGGCCACTAAGAGCAGAGGCTGGGCGTGGACAGGCGCCTAAATTATGATAATAAGCCGGCACTCTGGTCACTCTAGCTCGGGGAGGAGCTGAGCGCCTGGGAGGAGGGGCTGAGGGAGCCCTGGGCCAAGAGAGCAAAAGGGACCTCAGCTGCGGAGTGGAGGGGACCCTGCCTTGGCTCCGCTGCGGAGTGGAGGTGCGACGCTGCCTTGGCTCGGAGAAGCACCGCGGGAGTCTGGCCTTGTGCTCAAGTACCCCGGTCCCTTCGCGTCCATGGGGGTCCCGGCGTCTGCACTCTGCTGGCTTCTTTGTGTCTGGCTGCCCCAGGGTGAGCCGGCGGCTGAGTCCTTGCGGGTGCAGCGTCTCGGTGAGAGGCATGTGGACTCAGGGAGGTCTCTGGCTTAAGGAAAAAAGTAACGTTTAGAGGAACGGGCTGGGCAGGTTGGAGAGAGGGAGAAAAGAGAGGTTTGAGGGAGAGCAGAGGGACTCCCAGGAGGAGGGGTCAAGAGAGGAGGGACCCCGAAGGCAACAGAGGCAGGCCTGTGACTGTGAAGGGAAAGTGTCCCCATCAAGGCTGGGTGCAAGAGACCCGAGGTGGGGAACTAGAGAGAACTGGCGGCCAAGGAGTGAGAGGAAAGAGGGAGATCCTTGTGGAGAAGGGTCACCAAGAAGGGAGAGAAAGGATTTGAGAAGACGGCAGGGAGGGAGAATGGGGGAGTGCCCGGTGGTGTGGGAGAGGCTTTCTAGCAGCTGGGGTCCGGTGGTGGGAGGCCCCAACAAAGAGGAGCACAACTCCAGTGGAGAATGATCCCCTCCCTAGCCGCAGCACCGGCTCCGTGGAGCAATGCAGAGCTGCGGCCAGAGCCAGCCGGGGAACCCAGGTGAGTAGGTGTGAGCTGTGGCAGCCCCACCCACAGCCCCCATCCGTATTTCTGGCATTGGTGACCCCAGGGCTTTAGGACGTAGGGTGGAATAGGCCTGGTGATGGTGGGAGGCATAACCCATCCTGGCCACCGATTCAAGCCAGACTCGTTTCTCCTTCAGCAGCAGCCACCAGGAGGCGGCCATTGCCATGGGGGATGCTGTTACAGTGATGGGAGGCCAGGTAAGGGGGTGCCTAGGGAGGGGGCTTCACTGGGCAGGAGCTCATTTCTGTCTGGATCTGAGGCTGGCAGGGAACTCTGTAGGTTACAGGAGGGGTCTCTGGACTTGTTCAGAAGGGGACAAACTCCTGCTATATGTCTGAGGTCTGCAGATTCATAAAACCCTTCTACTCCTGCTTTCCTAATCTCTTGGGGGTCTGTAGCCCAGTCTTTTTTGTTTTTTTAGGAGAGGTGGGCACCAGTGCTCTTTCAGGAGGGAGCTGAGCTCTCCCTTCCAGCAGGTAAAGTAGAAAGATGAACGTTTAGAAGAATGGAGTTTTATTTTCCCTGACTGGCCTGCGAAGACCCTCAACCCTGTCAGAGGGCCCTCTCCAAACCCGGAGCAGAGCCCCAAGAATGCTACTGAGAGGCAAGACAAAAACTAGGCCACCTGGTGGAAGTTGCGAGGAAGGATTGGTCGAGAAGCAGAGCCTGGAACTCTTATCCTTTGGGCCTTTTTTCTTTCTTTCTTTCTTTCTTTCTTTCTTTTTTTTTGAGTTAGGGGTCTTGGTCTGTGGCATGGGCTGTAGTGCAGTGGCGAAATCATAGCTCACTGCAGCCTTGACTTCCTGGGCTCAAGTGATCCTCCTGCCTCGGTTACCTGAGTAGCTAGGACTATAGGTGTGTGCCACTGTGCCTGGCTGAATTTCAATTTTTTTTTTTTTTTTTTTTTTTTTGGCAGAGACAGAGTCTCACTATGTTGCTCAGGCTGGTCTTGAACTCCTGGCCTCAAGCGATCCTTCTATGTCAGCCTCCCAAAGTGCTAGGATTAGGCATGAGCCGCTGAGCCCAGCCTTTATCTTTGAGTCTTGACCATTCTGTTGCCCATCTTCCTAGGGTCTTCTGGGTTTGTGGGAGAGGTGGCAGTTTTGTTTTCTCCCTTTGCCAAACTTCTTTGGTCTCTGGATTAGGTGACTCAGGTCCACTTTCGAATCCTGCCCTGCATAAATTTCCCCCACCTGTAGCTAGGTCCCCCAAAGCAGCTGAGCCTCAGCTCAGGTGCCCCAGCAATCAGCTCTGGGGAGCCCCTTGAGTCAGCAGGTTGGGGAGAATCATTTATAACAGCAATGAGTCCCAACTCCTGCCCTTTGGAAATAGACATGAAGGCCCCAAGGTGGAATGAGGGGGGATAGGGTGGGTGTGCTTCTTTTCTGGTGTGGATTTCCTGGATCTTTTACTTCTTCTTTGCCCACACTTCCAGGCCCTAAGATTTAGAATCACAGTCAAATACAGTTTGAGTTGGAAGATAATGGAGCCATTTTTTTTGTAGGTAGGGAAGTTGAAGTGGATGGATGACTTGCGGGGTCCCACAATGAGCAAGTGGAGCTAAGTCTCCTGGCAGAGCCAGGCCGTGCACTCAGGACTCCAGGAGTCCCTGCGTTTTAGGTGGGGGATGACCCTTCTCCAAACACTTCATTTCCCTGCGGGCATCCTCCGTGCAGCTTTCCAGGGTGGGCGTCCCCCTTTTCCCGGGGGAAGAGGCACCAGTGAGTGGACCAGGCAAGCCGGGCAGGTTTCTCACACTGCTCCTTAGAGCAA